GGACATCATCTTTTCGAGGCTCTCCGGCGTGAGCGAGACGATGGCCGCGTCGTCAGCGTAGAGCATGTCCCACAGGGCCTCTGCGACCGTCACCATCATCGCCTTCTTCCCCGCCGACCTGCCCCTCTTGCCCGTGCACTCCACTCGTGTTGCGATCTTGATCATATCCGCCGTCACCTTGGGGTCCTTGTCGAACTCGGTCACTGCGACCATGCGCATCGCGGCTGAGAACACGGTGTGTCTCCTCGGCCATGAGAGAACCGCCCATCAATATCAATGGTTCCGGCAAGGCTTGGGCAAAACGGACGTGAGCAAGGTGTGTCTCCCCTGATTACTGCAGTCTTTCAGTGTTCCGTTCAAATTCAAAAGTCTGATTGGACACTGCTCGATCGCTGATTGAAAGAGGCTGGAATTCTGGGCCACACGACCATCACCAGCACGGAGGCGCTGCAGGTGCTCACTCCGGCGCTGGCTGAGGTGGTCGTGTCTGGGAGGTACGGACAAACTCCTTCGCGTTTGGTCGAAGATGGACTGCGTCTTTGTACAAGCCCAACATGCCACTTTGTACAAGCCCAACATGCCACCATGCACAACATATGCTGCTGCTGTTCACCTGTTGCCGCCCTTCCACGTCTACCTGTCCATGACACATCTGCCACTTGATGCGACAACATCTGGGAACAACACGGACACAGGAAGTACTCCCCCTTCCCATACACAACACCGTCAAAACTGCTTGTAAGCTATAATACAACAACCTCTCATTCCTCGCTTCACACATACTTTTCTTCGCTCATTATTGTCTTTTTGTCCTTTTTTTCTCTCTTTTTGTCTTTTTCTCTCTTTTCTGTGCGAGATGGCCTTGTCTCTGCTTGCGTTGTGATGTACAAAGACTGAACCAAGGGGTGTACCTCATTCTCTCTGGCCCGTGATGGTGACCCTAGTCTCAGTTGTTACCTCGTGCAAGCGCGCAGAGGGAATGGAGGACTCCAGAATATCTGTCGTTGATTTCTATTGACTTGCGGACCCCTCGGGGCAATTTTATTCGTTGGGTGTATGTACCTTTTAAGGTTATGTCAACCTGCGACGACGGGAATCGACCACGTCGAATGTTGGATCAGTACGGACATACGAAGGTACCGGGTAGAGAGAGATCGGAACGGTTTTAATGTCAAGACAACAGCAACAACAACAACAACAACAACATACAAAAGATGTAGATGCATGAAATGATACACTCTATGAATACCCTCAACTCAGTGTGAGCGGAGGTCCCAAAATGGCGAGG